TTCTCTTGCGATGAATCAGAACGAGGCTGGTAAATGGAAAGTATTTTTCTAGCTTTACAAATGAAGCAATTTCGAATACAATTTTTTTTTATTCAGAATCCATGCTCCAGATATATATCGATCTATGCACTGCATAAAAATAGTGAAAAATCAAATGCCTATTTTAAGAGTAAAAGTAACGCACATGTTCTTTTCTAAAAAAAAAAAAATACGACTAAAAAGCATCAGATTTACAAAAATTACTTGTAAAAAATGTCTAAATTCTTTTTTCGAAATTTATACATGTATGATTCGAGAATTGAACCGTGATGAAGCAAAATAAATTTAGGCCAGAAAAGAAGTGATTTTAATTTTGCTTTTAAAAAAAGCATCATGTTTAATTTCATTGAATCTTTTCTGTTAATTCTCCCCAAAATAAAAAGAATTTATTTACAAAAAATTAACACAAAATTCTCCCAAAGCGAGGCCCTTCCATTGTACGTCGGTTGAGCTGACATTTGCGAACGCCCCAAATGTACTTTACTTCTAAGCGTGGGGTTTTCATTCGCGCTCACCTCGATAAACAAGCCAAATATAATATATATATATATATATATATATATATATATATATATATATATATATATATATTATATATATATATATATATATTATTTAACAGCCAGCTCTTTTGACATCTTTATTTACATTACGTCGTGAAGCAGCCATCTCTAATATATTCAATATTCAAGTCAGGAATAACAAGTCTGATAAGAAATTCACAAATATTAGTATACCTCATACTGAAAAGAAAGAAATTATATATATATATATATATATATATATATATATATATATATATATATATAAATTATGTGTGTGTATAGATAGATAGATAGATAGATAGGGGACATAAACACAAGTATTATTGCTTGTGAGAAATTTTTTAATGCATTTGCCCTATAAATAGCTTAGGTGTCAAAAACGACACCTCGGCCATTCAAGGTAAAACCTCAAATATCAGCTATTCCACTGAATATTTTTTAAAGAATTAAGTCTGTTAAGCATCTTTGCTAAAATTCAATAATTGTCCATAAGCCTCAGCATCGAACCAAGACTTGTTATTCCATAGTAATTTATTGAAAATTTGAAGGTATCGAAAACGACACCTCGGCCATCCTAGTGTTAAATTCAAAAATATCCCTTGCAAGTACATAGAATATCATCTGCACTTCCAAAATGTGAATAACTCGCAGTTTTTTGGGGGTTTTTTTTTGGTCTTTTTTTGGCAATTTTTCATTTTCAGGGTTGGAGGTATTGCAAAGAAAAACAAAGAATTTTTATTTAAAATTTGTGACTTCGAAAGAGTGCCAAAATTTAATAAAAAACAAACTTTTTACACTATTTACATTGTTACTTTTCTCCTCATCCTCATTGCCATATTCACATAGTTTCGGCTGTTGTACGCTCCAGCCTTCTTCAGACTATTGGAATTTGAACTGAACCCTTTATTTCATCCACCGGGGTATATTGTTCTAGTTCCACGCGCCATGCCTCTTCGGGAATTCTCAATAAAAGTTATCTCCCTTTACTTCAACTCTCCAAGTTTTTGTTCACCTCTGCTGTAGCCAGGTATTGAACTCACAACTCTTTGGATCAAGTCACTGGATTCAACCAACCCTGTTATCCAGTGGGCCATGTGGGTAATTCATTAGTTTCTCCCCTACAACCCCTTTTCTCACAGACGAAACTTTTATAGCCTCTCACTAATCTGTCCCTATGTTCATAGCAAATGTTCAAACGTACTACATCCCTTAATTGCACTAGTCCCAACCATCACAACTAGGACTCGCTATGCCACGTACACAGAGTCGACTCATCTTCATTTCCTTCATATTCCAATAGTAAAGAGGAAGTTCAACTCAGGCAGATTTTTCCAAGAACTGTTACATAGTATAACAGACTGCCGAAAGACTGCCTTCTCTGATCTCTTCAATACTAACCATTAATTAATATGCATTTTTACTCTCTTCTTGAACGCGCTTACAGCATCTTCATATTGTGAACAATAGAAAAAACATCGAGTAAGCCTGATCCAACATGAAGAGTGAAATGGAAAAATGTCATCTATTTTACATTAGGTCATGTTAAATTCATGTTAGAATATCGCCTTTCGTAGAACCATAAAAAAACCTATCAAGAGTCCCAGCGTAATGATAATGAGTTAAGTCTACGATGAGGGTTTAATGTTTTGCGTGCTTCTATCCGATTGGCCAATATTTTATAAACATTTGTAGTCGGTGCATGCAAATAGAAAGCTATTCATTGGCAATCATGAATTAGAAAGTATATAAAAATTATATATTAGAAAGTATATATATATATAAAGTATATAAAGGGTGAGATGGATAAATTGTCGTCTAAATTACGCAAAAATGAAAATAACAATGACATCTCATTTTAACAGATATATTTACTAAAATTACACAAAAATATCTTGAAATAGTAAAGAGTAAATTTATTCAATAAAATCACCAGTGGCTTCAACCACTGCCTCCAGACGTCTTCGGAATTTCCTGCATCTCTTCTGGACAGTTTCCTTATTTAAGTTGGTGAATGCTACCATAATCTTTTTCTTCGGTACATCTTTGGAGTTACCAGGAGTTTTGTTAGTCTATCAACTTCGCCTCCACCCACATAATAATCAAGGGGTTTGCAGTCTAGGAAGTTAGATGGCCAGATGCAAAGGGTGTTGTGGTCGCAGAAATTGTCTCAATGCACTTGATGTAGGCCTCCGTGTTGAGAAATTTTCTTTAGAAACAAACAAAAGACTACTGAACTGTTGTGTAATATCCTTTCTCTTTTATGGCAGTGAATGCCCGGCAATTGTATCCCAGATGAAGAGACTTGAGGCAACAGAACTATGGTTCTACTGAAGGATACTGAGAATACCACGGACTGAAAATGCGGGCAACGACGAATTCTTAGGTAAAATGGAAAGAAAAAGGACACTTATACATCGAATCGAAAAGAGGCAGTTGAAATTTCTCGGGCACGTAATGAAGAAAGAAGTGAATTTGACACTCACAAGACAAACTGAAAGCAAGATGGACAGAAGAAAGCAGCGTATAATTTAATAATTTAAATGGTTGGCAGAACAAAGATGAGTAGAGGTAGCAAAAAAGGGCTAATACCTAGAAATACCTAGAAAAGGAAATTATAAAAAGTCATAATCGCTCACTTACTGAAAAGACAGAGCATAAAGAAGAAAAATAAGAAGAGAAATTTTTAAAGAAACATTTAAATAAATCTTTTTTTTTTCTTTCGTTTTTCTTCTGTATACTGCGCCTCTTTAGGACGTAGACGATCATGCTTCTCCACAATTTTCTGTCATTTGTAGCTCTTAATAAATTTCTTCTTTTTTGTCATTTCTCTTAAACCTTGTTTCACCATCCATTTACCCAACCTAACTATGTAGGTTATGCGTAGTTTACCTCTAAATTTTCCAAGCTCTCTTTCCTCATTATGTGCACTAGAAATTTCAATTGTCTCTTCCAGGTGTTAAATACAAGTGTCCGTTTTGCTTCCATTTTTTTTATAAACTTACTCGTTCCTTACACGTTCGGTCCATGGCATCCTTCTGTAGAAACACATTTCTTTTGCTTCAAGTCTCTTCTTAATCTGTGAGGAGATTGTTCAGCATTCACTGACATATAGGAGGACTGATTTACGTATCAGTTTAGTATTCATTTCTTCTCTTTTTTTTTCTAATATTTTTTTATTTGTTTTGCAAAATGTTCTCTGCTTAAATTTTGAGACAATGGCATCTATGTCTGGTGTTTTTTTTTTTTTTTTGTAGTAGCATATTGACTAAACTAAAAAAAAACATATTTGTTTCTCCAGTCTTAATTTTTTTTAAAAATAACATTTTTGTAAACAATTATGTACTATTTCGATATGCTTTGGTTCTAGTTTAAAACGATTTTAAATTTACATGGCTTCATGGAAGTGCATTTGGGTTAATGGATAGCGGCCCGTAATAAGAAGTTGAAAAGACGAGTTCGAATATGTAACCTTCACTTATCTGTACCTTGAGAAATGTATCAATCTATCTCTTAGATATGGTTTTGCTTCAAGTCTCTTCTTCATCTGTGAGGAGATTGTTCAGCAACCAGTCTCCGAGAAGGGCAACTTTGTATTCGAAATTTATATAGTTGCCAAGGAAAATATCTTCCCATTAACTCTGTGATCACAACTACGGCCGACCTCCTTTTTATTTATTTTTTTATATCATTCTTATGTTAGCCATAAAAGAAAATTCTCTTTGGCTGGGTGTGAAACTAATTCTTTCGGGCATATACAAATAACTTTTTACAGTCAATGGGAATTTTAACTCGTTTAATTTATTACTGCTTTAGTATGGGCGCTTTTTTGTTGTTTTTTTCTTTCTTTCTTTTATATTTTTAAGCAGAAAAAATTGATTGGAAATTTTTTTGAAAAACCGCCGTCGAGATCTGACCTCGCATCTTATCTCCTGAGGGACTGTTTGATATGAACTAAGTTTTAACCGAATTGTTTAGAGAGTCGGAGCGCATTGTCTGTTGTCGCAGATGCTACATATTCTTTATCTTATATTACTAGATTTAAATCTTCTTAGTTGAAAGAAAGAAAGAAAGAAAGAAAGAAGTGAAAAGGGTAGATTAGAAAGAAAGAAAATATGGTATATTAGAAAGAAAGAAAGAAAGAAAGAAAGAAAGAAAGAAAGAAAATATGGTATATTAGAAAGAAACAAAGAATGAAAGAAAGAAAGAAAGAAATATGGTATATTAGAAAGAAAGAAAGAAAGAAAGAAAGAAAGAAAATATGGTATATTAGAAAGAAAGAAAGAAAGAAAGAAAGAAAGAAAGAAATATTGTATATTAGAAAGAAAGAAAGAAAGAAAGAAAATATGGTATATTAGAAAGAAAGAAAGAAAGAAAGAAAATATGGTATATTAGAAAGAAAGAAAGAAATATAGTGTATTAGAAAGAAAGAAAGAAAATATTGTATATTAGAAAGAAAGAAAGAAAGAAAATATGGTATATTAAAAAAAGAAAGAAAGAAAGAAAATATGGTATATTAGAAAGAAAGAAAGAAAGAAAATATGGTATATTAGAAAGAAAGAAAGAAAACAAATAAGATGTATTAGAAAGAAAGAAAGAAAGAAAGAAAGAAAGAAAATATGGCATATTAGAAAGAAAGAAAGAAAGAAAGAAAATATTGTATATTAGAAAGAAAGAAAGAAAGAAAGAAAGAAAGAAAGAAAGAAAGAAAGAAAGAAAATATGGTATATTAAAAAAAGAAAGAAAGAAAATATGGTATATTAGAAAGAAAGAAAGAAAGAAAATATGGTATATTAGAAAGAAAGAAAGAAAGAAAGAAAGAAAGAAAGAAAGAAAGAAAGAAAGAAAGAAAGAAAGAAAGAAAATAAGTTTGGGAACGTAAGAAAATAAAAGTTCTGGAAAAATATTTGGGAAACCCGTGGAAAAGAAAGAAAATTCTGAAGAAAAAAGAACATTGAGCGAAAAAAGTTAAGAAAGATCCTTCCGAAAACAAATTGGAAAAAAAACCGGGAGAGAAAATAAATTTCGAAAAAGCATATTGGGAAAGTAAGGAAGGAAAGTAAGAATTTTCCGACAAGAGAATATTGGTAAAGGAAAGAAAGAAATTTCAAAAGAAAAATTAACATTGGGAAAGAAATTAAATAAAAAAAAAACGGCTCAGAAAAATTATATTGGGAAAAAGAAAGAAGGAAAAGAAAGAAAGAAAGAAAGAAAGAAAGAATACTCTGAAGAAAAGATGAGAAGGAAAAACGTTGCAAAAATATTGGGAAAGAATTGAAGTAAAGAAAGTAAAATAAGTTGTAGCAAAGGAAAAACACATATTAAACGGATTATAACATTGAATAAAAAAAATCACTAGATCAAATTAAATAAAAACCAACAGAATAATGAAGACTAACAAAAGGAAAAATATTCACTGATTCTTTGCTTGGATAATAAAGGACGAACTAATAAATAAAAAGAATAAACCTGTTCAATATGCAAACAAGATTAGCAGAGAAATACCAGCGTGAGAGTTTACTCTTCTGAACACAGGTGGTCTCCAGTTTGTTCTACGAACACACAAGAAAGATTTCTGTAGAAAAAAAGAAAATGGTCATCTTCCTTTTATTTCATTTGGAAAGCCGTTCCATTTTGACACACGCAGATGCACGTTCAGAGTTTTAATAAAGATTTATTTTTAATTTCATATTCCAGACAATGAGCGATATTTTTTGTAGTTTACTTAAAAATTGGTACTTGATGTTTCTCTCTTCCCATGTCTGCTGTGAATCTTTCATATTGTAAAACAGTGATCTATCTATACGGTACAAAGGTCTGGAGTCTAACAACACAGTATGTTAAAACCATTATAAAATCACGTTTAAACATTTTCACGCCACCAGCATTCTTCGGACGTTATCTCTCTTCTGCTGTACGCCTTCAAATTTCTATCTTTTTTTTTTTTTAGCTCTTACTAACGTATCTGTCTATAATTCTGAGATGAGGTGTTATGTACACTATTTACATTATTCTGACAATTTTCCTCATATTTTTTGCCATATTTATCAACAACGTTTCGGCCGTTGTACGCTCCGGCCTTCTTCAGCTGGTTGGAATGTCGAACTGAACCCTTTATTTTGCTCGCTGGGGTAGACTGTTCTGTTATCTCCTGTTATTTCCCCTCCCAAGTTCTCCACTGCCTTAACCAGGTATTAAACTCAGACTTTGCCATGTCCATATTTATCACGGGACCCTTTATTTCTCTCGCTGGCCATGTCTAATGGATGTCAGTTATCAGTTATCTCCTGTTGATTACAAGTTCTCCACTGCCTTAAGCAGGTATTGAACTCACGATTATTTGGGTCATTTCACTGGATTTAACGAACGCCTTTATCCACTGTGCCATGTGACGTTAAGGACATATGGCACAGTGACATCCATTAGACATGACACGTGGAACTAGAACAGTCTACCCCAGCGAGCGAAAGAAAGGGTTCAATTTGACATTCCAACCACCTGAAGAAGGCCGGAGCGTACAACGGTCGAAACGTTGTGATAAATATGGCAACAACGATGAGGACAATAGTCCGAATAATGTAAAAAGCTCTTACTAACGGTTGTCTTTTTATCACCCCAAGCCTCCGTTTCGTCATGTATTCGCACAAGATCGTCAGGTACGTGGCCTCGCTCCCTCTCCTCATCTCTTCTGCGTACGATATGTCATGAGAGTGTCGAATTTTCCAAGCCCTCCTTCTTTATTATGTGTGAACGAAATATCAAGTGTCTTTCTGATTCTAAATATAATCGTAGTTTTTGTTTCCATTTTTACTCGTGACTCAGTGAGTAACCTATTTATCAAACTTGTGTAAATATTAGGGTGGTGCAAAAATAATGACGTAATAATGTCGTTTTTTGACGTTAAAAAATACGTCAAAAAACGACATTATTACGTTATTATTTTTGCACCAACCTAAAAAATGGTAGAACAGAGAATGTGAAGAATGGGGAAAAGCAAACCAAGAAAGATAAAAAAATAGGAAGACGTGGAGAGTCTCGATCGCTCCTGTCCTGAAGGGACACGAACGGTAATGATGGGGAAACGATATGAAACTTTATCAGGTTTCAAATATCAAGTGCTAACGACGCCTTAAATATGTAAAAGTAAACACACGAACGGTTCCCTTCAGGTAGTTTTTCGCCGATAAGATGTCTCCTCCTACAATGTGCTTGGATTCTCTTTTGTGCCAACAAAAACTGGGATTCAAAAAGGTTCAAAAACAAAAGAACGGAAGCTTAAATTTCGCCACGCTTTGTATAGCCACGGGTTCATCTGACCCTGACACCGGCAAGGCATAGATAATGGCCACTTTGGACATATTCACTGTTACTTCTATTTTCTCTCACGACAGATTAATGGACGAAATCTCCTCTTCAGTCTCCGAGAACTCCGACTGCCAATCTGCCAATCTCTGGCTGCGAGTATCACTCTCGCTGCTCTTTTCTTTTATGCTTTTCACTTTCTCGGTTTTACTGTTGGTCGTTAAAACTGTCGACGCTTCAGGCCCAGATAGTTATTTACAGTCTCCTTTAAAATGTGAATGTCCTGACTACGCCCCATTGTGTGACATAACAATTGTTTGATTTTGATCAATAGTGCATAAATGATTATTTAGGACTGCGTGATTTTTTGTTTTAGAACATTTCGGAAAATTATCGTGTTTACCCAGCCAAATCGATAAAGCACCGTCAGTATAAGACGTACTCCTAAGGATACGGCATTCGATGTTTGTTTTTTTTTTATATGATTCATACTGCAAACTTTATTTTTTTAAAAAATACGGTCAGATCATTTCAGAGGAAAGCAACTATGAAGATAAAAAGGACAACTGGTTATAATGAATAACAAAAAAAAAAACATAGTTACAAATTCTGAGAAAGATCATTTTCTTTACCATATGTCAGTCTTTTAGCCTTTTTTTCGGAAATTTTATGAGATTGGCGTGTTATTTACTTATTTGACCTGAAGTGGTTCTCATTAGCTGCTCCCTGCTGTTACTGCTGTGCATAATGATGAGCTATAAATTGAACACCATGAAACCTGTTTTATATCAACTTGCTTTAAAGTAAAAATTATAGTGTCCGTTATTGTTTACATTTTGTAACGTAACTACAAATGTGTTTCTTTTTATTCTTTGAGTCAATCCTTCTTACTTTCTTTCTTTTTTCTTTTTTCTATTTCTTCCAAAGACATTCATTCTTTGAATGAATCTTTCTCCCTTTCTTTTTTCTTTCTTTCCATTTACCAATATTTTTAACTCTCTTCATTTTCTTCCATTCTTTCCCAATATTATTTTTTTAAATTCTTTCTTTCTTTCTATTCTTTCTTTTTCTTCCAAATATATTCAGTTTTTAACTCAATATTTCTTTCTTTCTTTCTTTCTTTCTTTCTTTCTTTCTTTCTTTCTGTTTCTTCCAAATACTTTCAGTCTTTAATTCAATATTGATTTCTTTCTTTCTTTCGTTCTTTCTTTCTTTCTTTACGTTTTCCAATATTTTTCATAACTTTTTCTAGCATTCTTTCCAATATTTTTTAAATAATTCATTTTTCTTTCTTCATATTACGGCCATATCACGCAGAAATACCGGTCCTGGTACGTTCACCGAAGTTAAGCAATGTCAATCCTGGTTAGTACATAAATGGATGACCGCCTGGAAATATCAAGTTCTTTAAAATCGTATGTGTGGGTGGTGTAATGGATAACTGTTCGCTAACTGAAATCGCAGAACCGAGTTTCAGTTCCAATCGGGGCCGTTATATTCATTTACACACAAATGTGAACGGTGTGAATACACCGCTTCTCCCCAGCTATGGATTAATTAGTAGAACTTTTATCAGTAAATCATTATTATCTCTAAGAAAAGTTCTTACAACCTAAAAACACTTACTGACTTTAAGTAACATGCAATAGGCTATTAAGCCGTAAAAAATAAGCATAGCAACTAAACCCGATAGGTAAACGCAATATCTAACTCGTATAATCTTAAAGGAAAGAATAACAATTCTTTTACAATATCAGTTTATGTCCATATGAACTTTCATATGAAGGTATTCCAATATTTTTTAAAATGTTTTTCTCTAGCAGACAGACATAAATGATAATAAAGGAAGAAAAATCCATTCACATATAGAATACATATATTTATAAAGGCAAAAATTTACAACAGTGAAAAGAATGGCCGACGTATATAAATTTGTACATAAAAATATCGATAAATTCTTTCCCAAAGCTAGTGCAATCATTCGAGGAAGATGTTTTTACCGGTGCCAGCCATTCTTTCTCTAACATGAAAAAAATCCTTAGCATTGTTCTTTCATTATATTCTTATATCAAAATAGAGCCAACTTATTACGAGACAGTGCGTCTTTTCAACGTGTAAATTTTGAGGAAAAATGATTTCAATAACGTAGTTCTAGCCGGCTTTTAATAATAAAAAAAAACTCTTAAAATAGTATTTATACTGTCCAGATTATAATATCTGCATCTACACAGAAATTTGAATTGATGATGGTAAATTTAGAAAAAGGTGAGCATCCTTAACAGATTAAAGTGTATATATATATATATATATATATATATATATATATATATATATAGAGAGAGAGAGAGAGAGAGAGAGAGAGAGAGATAGAGAGATATAGATATATAATAGTGCTCAATATCAGAGATCGAGCGTTTATAAATATAAATATAAATGTCTGATCTCAGGACTGCGTTCAATCATGGAACAAACAATCGTCGTTTGTTGTTTAATTCAGTGATCTTTTATTTATATATATATATATATATATATATATATATATATATATATATATATATATATATATATATATATGCGAGTTTGTAGAATGTATAATAGTATCTGAAGCAAACGTGAAAATGATGAGATGAATTAGAAATGTTTATAGACGATACGTTTCAACTAAAGGGACCAGCTTCATCAGGTTGGAATCAAAGATAAAACTGTAAAAAGAAAAATGTTTTGTAATTTTTTTTGTGATAAAAGGATCAATAAATTAAATTAAATTATCAGATTCGACGAACCAGAAACCAGAAAGTGTTTGTTTTATATCTATCTATCTATCTATCTATCTATCTATCTCTCTCTCTCTCTCTATATATATATATATATATATATATATATATATTACAATGAATCATTCATACAAAAAGTAAATTAGTAA